GTCGGTGCAGGTTTGTGTGTGTGTGTGTGTGCGGAGAGGAGGCGAGGGTCCGGGTGGTTATGCTTTTGGGCCGCGCCAATCCGATTGACCGCCTCGCAAATTTAGTTTTTTTTCTTTTTTTCTTTTTCCCCCCTCCCTCCCTTTTTTTTTTTTTCTTCGTGTTGTGACTGTTGTTGCTCTTGCCGTCGTCGTCGTCGTGCATCAGGGGTAGTTTGCGGCGTACCGAACCCCATTCCACGCGGGCGGCAGCGGCGAAGGGACGTACATCGGCAACGGCACCATGGAAATGCCGCGTTGGTACATGACGTGGTCCGCCGCCGCCGCATGTGGCGGCTGCAGAAGCTGCGGGACGGGCGCTGGGGGCAGCACGTGCTGCTGCGGTTGCCGTGGCTGCTGCGGCGCCATCTGCGGTACCTGCAGCAGTGGGTGCCGCATAAACTCCATTGGGTACGGCGGCGTGAGCCCTCCGTGGTTTGCTCCATTGGGAAAGGAAGTAAAGGGCGCCATGGGAGCGGAGGGCATCACAAAAGGCTGCGATGACGGCATCATCGGGGCGTAGGACTGGTTCTGCGGTGCCACGGAAAGCCGCTGCAAGTAGGGCACCAGGGAATGAATAAAGTTGCAAGCCTCCCCCAGATTGCACATTTTGTTAAACTGAAAATGAGCACAGTGACGTGCCTTGACGTTATTGAGTTTTCCATTCTCATAGCCGGCGGCGTCAGCGGCCTCGGCGGCGCCCGCGTCCCTCGCCTTGCCGCCCCCAGAGTGCTCCAACACGCTGTAGACGTTCGACGCGCCCACGGTGCGAAGAATCATCTCGGACGGTATGAGCTGCGGCACACTTTTCCCTTGATTTGGCGGAAAGACACGAAAAATGGCGCCAGATGGCATCGTTGGGTAGCGGTTGCTGTTCTTCCCCCCGCGCAGCTCCTCAGGCGGCGTCTCGAGCCCCTCCACCACGGCGGCACTGATGGCGTTTTCGTTGATGTGAACAAAGTTGGGGGCTGGCACCGCGTGGGTGTGGATGTACGGGCAATTCGCCCCCCGGGTGCAGCGGCGGTTCAGGTAGCGCTTGCACAACTGAAACCGAAACCGCGACTGTGACCCACGGGACTCATTCATTTTTAGGTACTCCACCGACCCATGCGTCGCCACAATGTCTGTGCTATCAATGAGGTAGTGGCTATGAATGGCGGAGTCGTAGACAGAGAAGGTGCAGCCAGGGAAGCACATCACCTCCTTGCTTGGGTCTACCAGCATCAGTTGCTCCAGTGCGTTCCAGTCAATCGTCTGCGGCGCGTTTGTCTGCTGGAATTCTTGCTGCTGTTGCTGGTCGATCGTGATGCCCTGCGCCGTCGCCGTGGTGGCCTGCAGGTTGGGGTTATCGTAGGCCCCTTCCGTAGCAGCCAGGCTCGCACTTGTGGACGTGGGCGACTCCGTTGCGGTGGGCTTGGGCATGGGATGCCGCCCCCCACTCGGTGATTCCGCCTGCACGTCGTCGAACACGGCCAGGTTAATCGGCGCGTTCACCTCATTCGGGCGCAGCGTGGTGTTGTACGCCTCGATTTCATCGTCGTCCTCGAGGTGAATCATTCTAGAGTCTTCGTTGCTGCCGTAGCCGTCGAGCTCCTCCTTCTCCTGCGGGGTGGCAGAGCGCGTCTGCCCCAGGCTCCAAAGGGTAAAAGCGGCGACATTCGTGCCACCCAAGCTATGCTGGGGCGAGCTAGAGCGGTGAGTGCAGAACTCGTCCGGAAGCGGCATGTGCGCGGGGAAGTGGTCCATCATCGAGCGCTGCGAAATGCCAAGATCCGGCTCGGCCTCAGGACTGCAGAAGGGTCGGTACGCGGCGGCTTCCTCCGGCAGCATGGCGTTGTGGCCAATCAGTGAGCGGGAGACTCCCATCAGCTCCTGCGCCCCGGCGAAGCTCCCGCTCACCGTGGAGGACATAGCCGACTGGTGCGAGAAGGTGCGAAGGTGCAGCTCGGACGGGTGCGACGGCGGGTACTGGTCAGGGTAGCGGTAGTTTGTCTGGGCACTTGTCAGAGACCTGGACAAACTGGGCACCGCGTGGGTGTCCGGCGTGCACCGTAGCACGGAAATCCTTCCGGCGCTTTGTACGCTGTTCGCACGACTGTTCCTCTGCCCGGGATAGACGTTGTGCGGATGACTACGGCTACACTTTAGCCAATGTTGGTTTTGCGGGCACTGCTGCTGGGGCTGAAGCTCTAGCAATTGGTCTTCCCCGCCGGAGGGAGCGGAGGAGCGCGATATGCACGTGGCCAGCTCCTCGTCGAAGCGTCCCTCGCCATCGCAGAGTGAAAAGTGGGGGGCAGAGCCCTCCGGGGTGGCCATGCAGCCACTCCTCCGGCGTCCATTTCTGCCGCTACGCGTGCAAACCCTTATGGAGGGCGCATCTGTGACGTCCTCGTTGCCGGCAGGGCAATCGACGGCGTCGTTCACGACCGTGCTGCCCGTCCTGGAGTGCGTGCTCCGCCACGGACTCTGGCGCTGGGTGGTGCTGGCCGACAGGGTGACGGGGGAGCGTGGGGAGACGCCGTAGGGGTTGTGGCGCCACGACACGGGCGACATAGTGCACTCCCGCGGGGTGGCGGCGCGGTTCGGCGCCCGGTGCGCCCCCGCCGCAGCCGCAGCCGCGGGCCTGCCGGGGTCGCAGTTGTCGCTGCCGGCGCTGGCGCTCCTCCTCAAGGGCCTCGCACCGTTTCCCGGCGTCCGTGCGCCGGCCAACTCCCCACGCTCCGCCAAGGTGGCGTGGTGGGCGGCTAAAGGGCCGTTTGGTGGCGGCGCACTGTCGCTCCACGCGCCTGCCGGCTCTGCCCTTCGCACAGGCATCCACGTCGTCTGCGCCACCGCCGCGGCCGCCTCCACCACGGCGCCGGACGACATCGCCAGCCTGTGGCCCTCACGGGTCGTTGCGGCGGCACGCAGCAGATGCGAGTGACGCCCCGCGAGTGAAAGAATCCGCCCTCAGGCGTCAACTATCAGCCGCGGGCACGCCCTCGCTCCCTCCTTCCTTCCTTCCACCCTCGCCTCGGGCTACTCTCAACACGGCCCACGCAAGACGCCCGCCCACACACGTAGAGAGGGACGCAAGGTGACGTGCGATGTGTAGGCGCGTGAGGTGCGGAGCGGTGCCACAGAATAATGCAAATGGGCCAAATTGTACGCCTATCGTTTTCGTATTTTTGTTGTTGTTGTTGTTGTTGTTGTTTTGTCTCCCGCTACGAATTTATTCGTCTTTTGTCCTCCTCCTCCTCCCCCCAAGTGGCCGCTGTTGCCACCACCCCGCCTTTGATGCCTGCCGCTTCCGCGCGCGCGCGTATGTGTGTGTGTGGCCTGCACCTGTGCGTTGGTGGCAACGAAGCGTCAGTGGGGGCTTTCTTCTTCTTCTTCCCTCCCCCCTCCCCTTCTTGCCCGTGGGCGGTGATAGCTTGCCGGGGGCGAAACAAGACAAGAGAAGAAACAAACAAGCAAACAAGGAAGGAAAGAAGGAAGGAAGAAGCCCGGAGACAAGTAAACAAGTTATTAGCACTATTCAGAGCGAGGCGCCCATTTATCCAAAGAGTAGAGGAGGAGGAGGGAGAAAAGGAAAAAACACCGGATGTCTACCTGCGCGGCTCTTTCCTGCGGGCGCGTGTCAGGGGCGTGGAAGGGAAGGCAGGAGAGAACAAACAAACAAACAAACACACACACACACACACACACACAAAAAGGAGTGAACGGACGCCGCGGCGGCGAGGGTGCAGACACGCACGCACACATTTGCCACCGCGTCGCGCGCCCCTCCGCTCATACACGCGGAGACGCACGGAACAGAGGAGGCGACGGAGGGGGAGGGCGGGGGGGGGGGGGGGGCAGTGAAGCACAATCCTCCAAAATGCCTACAGCAAAACCTGCACGCAAAGTAAGAAAAGCAAGGCATTTTTTTTTTACGGCAAGAAGCAGCGAAGCAAACGGGTTGTGTGACGTCGAGCACGACACACATAAACCCCCAGCAGCCCTCGGAAGGCCGCCAACGCACAAAAGAAAAGTTCCATGCGTTTCAAATTATGTCAAGACACTTCCTGCTGCCTGACGCTCCTGCGCCGCCTGCAACAAGTTGCGAAGACGCATCTTCATCTCGGTCGAGAAGCGTGGTTCCTTCTGGAGCGCCGTGACAAGCCCGGCAACCTCCTCCTCCCCCACCAACGGCTGTAGCACATTGTAGAGAAGTACGCAGAGAGAGGGGTCGCCCGGTCCTAGGCGGTTCATCAGCGCCTTCAGCAGAAGCCCGGCCTCGCCAATCAGCAGAAAGTTCTTCGCGTCCCTCACGTCAAAGCCGGGCAGCAGAAAGCGCTGCAGGAGCGCCGGCACAACATCGCCCAACACGAAAGAGATCCAGGCCCCGCCGCCGCCGCCGTCGTACGCGTCTGCGTCGGTCTGGGCGGCGGAGTTATTAGTGTTATTACTGCTATTACGGTTGTGGTTATTGGGGGCGTCTTTGCCCGCGTGGCTCGCGTCCGCCGCCGACTTCCACCCCGCGGCGGTGATGGCTGTCGTGAGCTGCAGCGCCAGCTTCGGCAGCTCCGTCTCACCGGGGAGCTGCATCGCCGCCAGCAGCTGTGCGAGCAGCGGGACGAGGTCCGCAGGCGGGAGCGATGCGACGACGGAGACGCAGCCCGCCTGCGCCGCCCCCTGGACGAGGGCAAACAGCTGCCGGTACACCTCACGCTTCTCCCGGGTGCTCTCCGACACAACCCCCATCTCCGCGGGCGACATCGTCAGCCCCCCCACCACCGCCGCCTTGTTAAGCACGAGTGGCAGAGTGCGGGCGAGCAGAGCCTTGGCGTGGACGCCGCTGCGGTGGACAAACTGAAAGAGCAACCGCAGCAGCTTCGTCAGCTCTGGCACGGCCTCCATCCACGTCAGCCAGTTCGTCGCGTACACCGTGAAGTAGGCCTCCATGAGCTCAAACGGTAGTATGTGTACCATTTGGGTGAAGTACTGCGCCGCCCGGTCCCGAACTGCCGCGGATGCGTGCCACGCACTCAGCGCGTTCATCACCTCGTGTGTCGTGTTATGAAATATCTTTACCATCCCCGCATCCACGGCCGCCACGCTGCTGTCCCCGTTCTGGCCCGCCGTATCCCCGCCAACTCCACCACCACCACCACCACTGCCGCCGCCGCCGCCGCTGCTGCTGCTGCTGCTGCTACCACTGCTGGTCCGGAGACCTTTGGCCAACGCGGTTAAAAAGGAAATGCTGTCGGCCACCGCCTCGGAGCATGCGGCCTCCCCGAGTCCCACGTGACGGGAGGAGGCAGGGGACGCCGCATCACGCAAACTTTGCAGCATCATTTCTATGAGGCGCACAAGCATCGCATCCTCATCCACGGTCCCCGCCAATGTGGGCGGGCGGATGCTCAACACGTTTCCAGTGGCCTCGTACAACTCGCGGCGGTCGTTCGGCTGTAGCACAGTGGAGGAAAATATATTCTGCATGGCGTTGACGATGGCCTCCTTGTGTGGCAGCAGGTTGGTCTTCAGAAGCTGCACAAGATGCCCAAAGAGGTAGCAGACCCGGGCGCGGACGCGGGGGTGGCGATTGGTGACGCCGTGCGGCAGCAGCAGAAGGCGCTGGAGCAGCAGCGGAATCCATTCCTTGTGGTAGATGAAGAAGGCGTAGTAGCGGTCCAGCACCTCAAAGTAGCTGAGGTGGACCACGGCGCACGGGCAATGGGCAATGCTTTCAGAGGCCAAGACGACGCAAACGAGCTGGGAAAACTCGTTGTCAGCGTCTCGCAGCTTTTCCATGCGCACCGACTCCCCAAGTTCATACAAGTAGCGCAGTGCGGCTTCAATCCCCTCGGTACTTGAGCTGCTCGCCGCACACTCGCCCCCGCAGGAGTCGTGCTCGCCGCGCTGAGAGTTGCCCCGGTAGTCGTCAGCGCCACGGCCGTTTTGTGTGCCGCCAAAACCCTGCTCCCCGCCTGGGGCAGTCGTCGTCGTCGTCGTCGCCGCCGCCGCCGCGGCCTGCCCAATACACGCCTGCAAATGCTGCAGTACGGTGTCTGGGTGGCGCCGGAAGAGGAGACGGATGAGGTTATGTATCTGCTTGCGTTGGTCGATAACGTCGTCCTGCCACATTTGCTCCTCCTCCTCCGCCAGCCCTTGGATGAGGCTGTGGTCGTACAGCCTGAGCAGGATCTCCGCCGCCTGCGCCTCCCGCAGCGCAGGGGACTTGATGTAGCTCTGCACAAACGGCAAGAGGACGCTGCTGACGTCAGTGTGGTTGATGCTCAGCAAGCGCAGCAGCTGCGTCAGAATTGTGTCCAGTGCCACACGTACGCTGTCGAGGCAGTCCCTTGACAGCGCCCCATCGGAGGTCGGCGGCGGCGGCGTCTCGTCCTTGCCGCCGTTGATGCCGCCACCCCCCTTCTCTGCAGCAGCAGCAGCGACGGCGGAGACGTGTTCAAAGAGGCCCAAAAACTGCTCCGCGACCGCCCGCGTCAGCCGTGAGACGACCTCGAGAAAACTCACATCCTCCTCCGTCTCTGGGGGCACCTGCAGCAGGCTAATGATGCGCGGCAGGGCGTCAACGATGTTGAGCGTGCACAGCGAGCTCAGCTTGACCACCGGCAGTTGCTTCTTCTCCACGAGGCTAAAGAGGCACTCGCAGGCGGCGCCCCGCACGGCGGGGGCCGTGACGAGGAAGTACAGCAGGTTGATCCACTCGGCGGTGAGGAAGAGGGAGAAGTCCACCCACTCAATGTACGTCTGCGCAACCGTCAAGCAAACATTGGCGATCTCCGGGGCCCGAATGCGGCAGTCGCACAGAATGGCGTACCACGTCGCAACCACGCGCGGCATGACGTGCTCACGCATCGCGTCCTTCAGCTCCATATCCCGCGCCCGCAGCTCGCGGCACCGGTCCGCCTGCGCCCGCACCGACACGACGCGCTCGTCGATGTACTCAAATAGCCGCAGCACGTACACCGTCACCGCGTCGCTCGCGTGCGGCAGGGTGCCACGGCGAGCGAGGAGCTCCAAGGCGTCGTCGAAGAACGAGGTCCAGCGAGATGGAAAAAATTCCTGCAGCCCCACCACCATCATCTGTGCGTGCTTGTTGGCGAGGAAGTCCATCGGCGGCCGCTGCGCGGCGGAGGAGGAAAACAGGTAGCGGTAGATGAAGGAGAAGAGGGTGCGGTAGAGCTCCTCCGCCTGGGCGTCGTCGATGGTGCAGGCGAGGCGCGGCAGGTGGTGCATGATGGTGTTGAAGGCCCAAAAGCAGCGGAGGTCGTGCACCGGCTCGTTGCTGATGATGTGAAAAGACAAATTCAGGCCGTCCGCGGTGGCGCGCAGGGCCATGAGGTACTGCTCCGCCTCCAGCCGCTCCTGCTGCGTCACGTTGGGGGCGTACGTGTGCGTCAGCTCCATCGCCCGCGTGAAGTGGTTCGTCGACGTCGGCAACGCCATCCCCGCCGGCGACGCTCCCCCGCCCTCCACCCCCCGGTCCCGCCGCCGCCGCTTCTTCCGCCTCCCCCGCTTTCCTTCGCTGCCTTCGCACGTGTTCCCTCCGCTCGTTCTTTGCTTCTTTTTCCTTTTTTTTTTTTTAGTGTCGCCCCCCGCACTCGCCGCTTTGGCGGGGCGAACTCNCTTTTTTTTTTTTTTTGTCACGGAACTCACACGCCCGCCCCTTCCCGCGCGGCTCCGCTGCCCGCACACAAAACGAAAAAAAAAAGTGTGCACGGCGAGGAGGCGGTGGGGGTGGGGGGGGGGCCGTGTGTCTCCGCTCCCCGCCCGCAGTCGAGGAGGAAGCAACGCCCGCGCCGCGGCAGCTCTGGCGCCGGAGAGGCAGAGAAGTACACACAGAGAGAGAGAGAAGAAGAAGAACAAAAAAAAAGAGGGGAAGTAAAGGAGGGAGCCGGGTGTTGATGCCCCAAGAGGGAGAGGCGCACCGGCAGCCAACGACGCCGCCGCCGCTCACGCACAGACGCACGGACAGACGGGCGCCGTCGGATTCCCGCCACGAAACCCGCGGGCCCAGGCGGGGTCGCAGGGGACACGGCCACGAAGGCAGCACCAGCAGAAACTCCGCAAGAGCGAAACATGTCAACAACAAAAAAGGAATTAAAAACGAAAAAAAATGAGCGCCCACACTTGCCTTTCCGTAGCGAGAAGGAAAAAAGAAAAAAAAGAGAAAGAAAGACTCAAACACACACACGCACACGTGCGGCCACCGTCGCCGTGTTCACGGGATTCCTAGATGCACGTATATATGAAGCGTTGCGTGTATGTGTAGAAAAAAAAGGGTTCTGTTTGAAAAGTATTAGAAGGCGCGTGAGTGGGTTGTGCATTTCGCGAAGCAAGAGGCGGCGGGGGTTGGGGAGGGCGCTAAAGCCATGGCGACCAGCCCACAAACATTTGGGCGAGCAGCTCCGTGTTTTGGGCCGTCTGCAGCAGTTTGTGCACATGCGTCGGGACGCTGAGCAGCTCGCCTGCCTCGTACCCCGCAATCTTTTCGGCCACGTGGGAGAGCGTTCGCTCCGCATCGGCGTAGGTTGGCTTCCCGCGGCTGACGCCAAGGCCACGCTGCCGCGGCGTCGCCGCGCCCCCCTCCTCCTCCGCGTCTTCGTCGTCCAGAGAGACGGCCAGCCCATCCAAGTGCTGGCCCGGGCGCCCCGCATGCTGGCGCTGCGGCGGCACCACCGTCACTGACCAGCGCGCGAGCGGGTCATGGGCGCAGGCCTCGAGGATCGTCATCAGCAGCTCCTTCTGCCCGCGCAAGACGCGCAGTGTCCCCTCGCAGTGGCGGCGGAACGGGCCCTCCGTCCCCTGCACGCCGAAGCCGTCCACCACGTTGCGGGTAAGACGAAATGGCACAAGCTCCGGCACAGGAAGCAGCTTTCCCTGGTCAAAGGCAAACCCAAGGTCAATGTGCACAAGCTCCGCCCGCCGGGTGTGCAGGAGGAGGTTGTTGCCGTGGCGATCCCCGAGTCCGACGATGTAGCCAACCATGCTGGAGGCCGCAACACTGCGCGTGTAGGCGTCACGCCGCTCTAGCCACGCCTGCGGGGTGAAGAAGTGCTCAAGAAAGAAATAATGCAGGGCCGGGCTGAACTCCGCGTAGAGATCGAGCAGGACACTGTGCTTCTGTGCCTTGCTGGCCGCCTGCAGCCGCGCACGGCAATCCAACGTCGTTGGCTCACCAGGGAAGTAACGCTCATGCGCCCCCGTGCTAAATCGCAGCCGAGTTTCCGCCCCACCACCGCCGCCGCCGCCGCTGGCTCTGGGGTCACCGTTGAGGTACTGACCAAGCGGAATGGTGCCATCCACCCACTCAATGATGCCCACCGTGGGGGCGAGGGGAACCACGTTGTAGGTAAACACATGCAACCCACACGTTCGGCGATCCTTTGCCAGAAGCTGGTTTGAAAGCGCAAACACCTGCTCGATAAGGCTGTCCTGCCGCAAGTCATCCTCGGACTTCAGCAGCTGGCGCAGCACGCGACCGTCGCTCAAGACGCAGCTGAGCGCCTTGGGGAGATTGATCCCGCCCGGGGTTGTGAAGGCGCCCTCGTACCGCGCAATGCTGGGGACCCGCCGTGGCAGCCGCGGCGCCGACGTCGCACCCGGGGAGGCCACGGCGGGCAGCGGCAGCGTCAACGTGGGCGGCGGAATCCGCAGGTCCTGCATACCCTGCTCCAGGATCATGAAATCCGCCGGGATGCGGTGCACCGGGCGCGTCTTGTTGTGCACGCGGTAGAACGCCAGTTGAATGTACGCCGCAGAAAGTCGCTCCGCCTCCCGCACAACTTGCTGCCGCCACCGGCACCGCGCGGCGTTGGCGTCGTTCGCGTCCGCCGCGCCGCCGTCCACGTGGCTGCCGGGGGCGGCTTGCAGCGTGCGCAGAATGCGGCGCGCGAGGGTCACCTTCTTCGCATCCACCACGTGCAGCCCGCCGCCGTGCGCGGCGGCTGCCACAGCGGGGCCGAAGTTGTCGCCGTTGGCGAGGGCGAGCAGCGGCCAGACGGTGTGCAGAGGGCTTTCCAGCGCGGTGCGCAGCACCAGAGTCTCCAGGTTGGCGTCGTCCTGCGAGGTGCCGAGCTGCGCCACGAGCTGCGAAAAGAGCGGGAGAAACATGTGGTGGGGAATGTTTTTAATCGCCTTCTTAATGACGCCGGCGGTCACGCAGGCGGCCGGGGCCGCCCCCTTCTGCCGCTGCTCCTCGAGCCGCGCATCCTGCTGCAGCCACAGCGAGACGAAGGCAAAGACGGCAAGCAGCCCGTCCGCGTCGGTAGGCCCGCTGCGCTCCAGGAAGCGCGCGTAGGCGTTGAGGGCGCTGCGGCGGTACAAGGCGTACATCTCCACCTCCCGCTGCCACTCATCCTCCTCGCGCGTCGTCTCCAGCGCCAGGGTGCGGATGCGCTGCTGCAGCAGCTTCTGCTCCGCCTCACTAAGCCTGTCGGACGTATTCTGCTGCTGCTCCAGCTCCGCGCGGATGCGGCGGGAGGCCTCAATGCTTTCCTGCAGCTTACGGTACTCCTCGCTGTGCAGGCGCCCCGTGATGTCGCGCACCAGCGCGTGGCACAGTCGGGCCAGCTGCAGGCAACACACACCGCTGCGGTCATTCTTGACGGATGACAGCAGGAAGGGGTCCCGCACGAGCTGCGACAGCGGCACCAGCCGCGCCTCCCTGGCCCACACGACAAGCTGATGCACAACCGCCGGCATCTGCGGCGCATTAGCCGGCATGGGGAAAAGCATCCCACGCCCCACCGCAGCGGCGTCCAACGGCGTCCTCTCCGTGTTCTGAAGAATGGCAATCGCACGATGCGGTCGCCCACCCACAAACTCCGCACGCGCCTGCACAAGCGCGAGAAAGGCCATGGCAGGTAACTCCTGAGAGGTGGTCAAGTTTTCAAACACTGACCCAGCTTGGGGCAAAGCGTGCTGCTGCTGGCTTGTGCCGCCTCGTGTGTCGGCGGCCCCGCCAAACTCAGCGTAGGCAGAGAGCCATTGATGCACCAGCACGGGCCTGCCGCCGCGCAGCGCACGCGCGCTGCTGTTCTCCAGATGGGCGAGCCACCACTGTGGCTGGCGGTATACCACGCAGAGGCGATGGTGCACGCTGTCCAGGAGCTCCAGCTCCCGGTACGCAGCACGTACGCGGGCCAACGACGCATGCACCCACGGCGGCGGTGGCTGTGGCGGGTTTCGCAGCTGCGCCGCGTCCCCAGAGCCAGCGACGGAGGAGGCGTGCAGGCGCGAGAAGCGGCCAGCGCACTCCTCAATGCTGTGCAGCGCCTCTGCCTGCAGCATCAGCTGAAACCAGTTCGTCGCGTCGAACTGAGAAACCAGTCGCCGCAGCGCCTGCGTGGTCCACCGTCGCACGTTGTGCTCGCCGCGGTGCACCGCCCGCATGGCGAAAAAAATGCCCTCGTCCACCGACGTGAGGGACGATGACGGCAGCAGGCCGTGCTGGCGCGGACGCGGCCCTTCCTCGTCCGCCGCCGCCGCCGCCTCCTCCAGGCAGTCAGCATCCCAGCGCCCGAGACGCCAGAGGGTAGCCGCCAGGGCGGAGCGCAGCTGCAGGGCGTAGTCGTCCGCCGCCTCTTCTTCCGTCTCCTCGTGGGCCGCGTGGCGGCCGCGACGCGGCAGCGCGGCGGCAAGCATCTGAAGCGCGGAATCGGCCGCCCCAAGCTGCAGCAGCGCATTCGCCTTCTCCACCAGCAGACGGGCGCCGGAAAGGCCGGCGTCGCGGCATTCGCCACGAACTCGGGCAGAGGCGTGCGTCGAGGCCATTGCGACCGCCATGCGATCGAGCAGGAGCAGCACCGCGTGCCAATTGCCGCGGCTCTTTTCGCGCTCCATGAGTCGCGCCGGGTGCTGCAGAAAGAAGTCCTCCTCCCAGGGCGACATGGACGCATCCGCGGCCTCGCCGTCGCAGGCCGCCCGCATCACATCCGTGGCCCCGGCGAAAGTGGCTGCCCTCGTTCCGCCCACGCCGCTGCCGCTGAGGTCGCCGTCGGCGGCGGTGGCGGCCACCCCGGCATCGTCGTGCCCGCCGCGGAAACGCAGCGTGGTCTCCACGTCGACAAGCACGGCGTAGACGGCCGCGCGGTACGCGGCGAGTCGCTCCGTCATGGCGGCCTCCGCCGCCTCCCCGCGCAGCCCCCGCCGCCGACCCTCCGCCGCCGTCGCCCCCACCGCCTCGCGCGCGCAGGGCTGCTGCTTGGCGGGGAACAAGACGGAGCACTTGGGCTGCCCAACCGCCGTCATCGCGGCGGAGGGGATGCCTTTGCGGCGCCCGAGCAGCGACTCCCCGCTGAGCTCCGTGAAGAGGACGGCGAGGTGCGGCTCGCGGCAGGCCACCGCGGCGGCGGCCAGGGCAAGGGGGTCGAGGTCCGCGAGCCAGTACGACTCCCGCACGTCCGCCAGCTCGGGAAGCTCGCCGTAGTCGCTGGGCACGAAAAGTGGGAACGTCAGCGCCGCCGCGACGGCCTCCAACTCCGACGGCGACGCCCGCGAAAAGGGGGGGGGCCCCGCCGCCTCCGCCCGCACCCCGTGGCTCCGCACCACCGTCATCAGCACCGAGTGGTAGACGTTGAGGGCGCGTAGAAAAAGCCGGGTCGCGTGACGAAACCCGTGCGCCCGGCGAAAGAGATGCGTCTCGAGCGCCCGCGACCACGCGGCCCGCTGCGCCCGCTGCGCCTCGCCCTCCCGCAGCAGCATCGCGTGCAGCAGCAGGATAGGCAGAAATCCCTCGATAAACAGCATCAGACTCCCACTTCTGCCGGCGACAGGGCGGAGCAGCAGGTGGCGGAGCACCGTGGCGACCGTAGGGAAGCGGTGGTGCAGGTTGTACTGCCGGATGAGGCCAACAAGGAAGAAACGCAGAAACTGTGACTCATCCTCGTGCACGGTCAGGGCGTCCCACACCGCGTCGTCCAGCAAGGAGGCCACGCCCAGCACCGTCTCCTCCGGAGGCATCGCATGCTTGTACGCTGGGACACCAACCAGGCACCGCTGAAAGGGGAGAATGTCATCCAGGTGAATACTTGACAAAGCATGACCGCCTTCGTCATCACCATCGTCGCCGTCGTCGCCTTCGTTGAGAGCCGCTGCCGTTCTTCCCAGCGTTGCGCGTGGTATCTCCTGCCCCGCCTCCTCCGTTTGCCCCGCGTCACGCCGCATGAGCTCCAGGGCACGTTTAATGAGACGGCCGTCATCGCCGGCGCCACGGCGGTGAGTACTGTTGGCCGCCTCCCTCGAACCGCCGCCCAGCCCTCCCCTCTCGAGGACGGCACCACCGTCGTCGTGGTTGTTGTTGTTGTTGTCAGCGGTGGCGCCGCACAGCCAGCCACGAAGCGTGGTGGCGGCAACCTGGGCAACGTCGGCGTCGGCGTCGAAGGCGAGCCGGTACAACTGCTCCACGTGTTGGCGATACATGTGATGCAGCACCTCGTCCAGCGGCCACTCCTGCAGCATCGCCTGCATGGCGCCAATGGGGTACAACAGGGCGTCCACGTGGCCCTCGGCACCGGCCTCAATAAAGCACCAGCACAGCGCACGCAACAGGCGAAACGCGCTGGTCTGCAGTTCCCGATTTGCGGCCTGCGACAGCCGCGCCGCCGCGGTCGTAGCAGCCGTCGTCGCAGCGGTTGCGCCCAGCATGGGCAAAGCCATCACCGCCTGCGCGGACGCCTCGGAGGCGTCGTCGGTGCACACCAGCGTCAGCAGAATTTGCACCGCCCGACAGCAGGCCTCATACACTGCCTGCACAGCCGCTGCGTCCGGTGCCGCTTGCCGTGGAAAATGCGCGTCCAGCAATGGCCCCCGCTGCTGCTGCTGCTCCTCCTCCCCTTCTTCCTCGTACAGATGGGCTCGGATGAGGTATACAAAGGCGGGACGGGCGCGGTCCACGGCAGACGCGGCATCCGTGTAGAAGGACGAGGCTGGCGCACCGGAAAGAAACACGGTGCTCTTCAATAGCGGCAACACGCGGGTCACCCGCCGCATGGCCTCAGCTAGGCTGGGCGGTGGGCCTTCGTTCTCCGGCAGCTGGACGCCTGTACGTGCGGCGTCGCCCCCGCCCGTTGCACTGCGATGCCTATGCTGCTCCCGTTTCTCCGCTTCCTGCGCTGCATTGGCGCCCGGCGTGAGGAGGCGCACGTCATGCGTCTCCACTTCCTCCCGCGGCGCAACACCCGCCGCGGTGTACCTCGCGCGCTGCAGCTGCCAGTCCTGCCGCTGCAGCGCGGTGTCTGCGCGACAGATGGCGGTCCACGTCGAGGCCACAACCCGCGAGTCCTCCGCGAGGGTTAGCATGACGGTTGAAATAAACACCTCATCTGCGGCCGCACGCCGCGCCGAGCACGCGGAATTTGTGGCCCTCGCCGCCGCCACCGCGGTTGTCCAGGCATACAGCAGGACATTACACGCACGCGGTCGGGCGTCGGCACACGCCATGAGAAGATTTCCACAGAGGCGCAGCACCGTGTGGAGGATGTGTGGGACGCGTTGCAGGAGCTCACGGCTCCACCACCGCCTCACAATGTCCTCCAGCAGCTGCGCAAGCATCGCCCGTCGCCGCCCGCGGTGGACCTCGTGCGTGAGGCCAACGTACAGCTGCTGCAGCAGCACGTAGGCGTGGTCTCCACCCTCGCTAGCAAAGAAGCGATCGACGGCCGTCCTGGCGGCCCAGGGAGACACACATTCATGGGCGTCAGACGCCACGCTGCCCGCGGCGGCGATGGTGTCGCAGAGCAGCGCCACCGCCTCCTGCAGGGGACGCACCCGCACCAGCGGCGTCATGGTGCCCACGAGGCCCACGAACCGACACAAGACGGCGTCCGCGTGGCGGCAGACGAGCGGCGCGTAGTCCGTCGAGAAGGTCGACCGCGTCCACTCCAGCGCGAGGCGGGCAGCGGCGGCGACCTCGCGCGGATCCGCGCCGCCCCCGTGGCGCCCGGCCAGCGCCGCAAAGACAAGCAGGCGCGCCATCACGTCCGGAAAGTGCGCCCGCAGACAGCCCACCAGCAGCTCTCGCGTCCGATCGGTGGCGGCGGCGACGTTGGACGACGACGACGACGACGAGGCGACCCCGGCCTGACTGTGGCACGCGGCCAGGCGCCAGAGCAGGTCGCTGGGGCGCAGAAACGCATCGGCCTCCTCCGCCACACCGCGTCGTGCACTGCAGAGCAGCGCCAAGGGAAAGAGCGTCGGCATGAGCGCCCGCCACATCTGCGGCAGCCCGGCGTAGCCAAAGCAGGCGACAGGGAACGCCTCCATTGGGTGGCCCAGGCGCCAGAGCCAGTCAAACAGGAGCCGCTCAGAGTGGTAGTGGCACAACTGTCGCGGGCTCATCCCGGTCCCACCTCCCGTCGGCCCCGCGTAGTTCCCGATCAACGCAAGACACTCCAACAGCAGCCCCTTGTGGGCAAAGCCTTGCGTCGCCCAGCACTCCAGCAGGGTACAGATGATGTCTGCCTCCAGCATGGGCGCCGCGTGGGCCGCCTCACCGAGGGCGCGCAAACTCGTCGCGGCGTGCATAGGGCTGATCGACGCAATGCCCTCACGCGCGCGGTACAGCAGCTCTTGCAGAACAACGTACGTCCGGCGGGTAAAGCGCGTAAACAACCACCGCACGTGCAACGCCGTGTGTCTTCGGACGACGTACGCCGTCTTGATGGAAAGAAACGAGAAGAGGTACTTTCCCAGCTTTTCCGCCACCGCCGCATCGCAGCGGAAGAGGACGCCGTAAATGCTGGACAGCACCGCACACTGCAGCTGCGGCGTCAACACCGGCATATCGCCCCGTGAGGCATCCGTCAATTGATCCACAAACGACTCGAGCTGCCGCCCTTCTTCACGAAGAAGCCCGTCGTCGCTGGCGTCTCTCTCTTCCGTGTTCTCGCGTCCTCCGCGCCTGCGAGACCCAGCTGCCTGCGCACGCACTGGGCTCGACTCTTCACCGTCGTCGTCGCCGTCCTCGTCGTCCTCCTCTTCCCCGTTGTCCGCCTCCGCAAGTGCGGGAGGAGAAGCAGCGGCGCGGTGCAGCGGCGCGTAGTGGCTGAAGGTCGCGAAAATGCTCTCCGCCAGACCGTAGCGGTAGCGCGCAAAGAGCGTCTCCAGCAGCTGACGTGCCACCTGCCGCGCCTGTGCGTCGCTGTAGGCCTCATGCAGCACCTGCAAGAGTCCCAGCAGGGCATCCACGACGGCGAGGGGGAAGGGAAGGAACGGGTTCAGCTTTAGCACGTCGTGGGTGGCGGGCATCCCTGCCCCGCCTGTGCGGCCCGCAGCGGGGATGAGGCCTTCCTTCGCGAGAAGGCGCGCGAGAACGGCGGTGACGCGCTCGGGGCTCACAAGTGGATCGGCCGAGGCCGCCAACACGCGCGTGCGCCGCACGCAACTGAGAATGGCACTGAGCAGACTGCAGCTTAAGCGCAGCGTCGCATGCACGGCCGCCGCGGCGTCTGCGGATGTCAAATTTGTCGGTGTCCACGCCGCAAGCTTCACGACGCCCTCGTCCAGCGCACGACGACAGACAACGCCTATAAATGACAGCACCACTTGCCTCGGCTCCCACAGCGCAAAGGGTTGCGACAGCAGGACCGTGCCCACATCATGGATAAGCAGCAGCTGCGCCCGCATGAGCACACGATCACGCACAACAGAACCGCGGAGTAGTCGGGTGACGAGGTGTCGGGAGATCCACATCACGGCGTAGTACAACTGCCCCTCCGGAGACAGCCGACGCAGCGTAGACAGGGGATGATCAAACAACTGCGTATGCGGTATGCCGGCCAAGATGCAGAGATCATCCTCCCCATCCTCACTTGGGCCCTTTCCATTCCCTTGATTGCTATTATTATCATTGTTACTAGCAGCATTGCGGTTCGCGTCACCATTGGGGCCGTCGCCACCGCCGCTTGGGCTTGAACGCGGCCCCGGTGGGAGTTGCCACACGCCAAGCCGAAAGAGACGCAGCAGCAAGTGCATCAGCTGCAGAGCATGCAGGCAAAGTGTACGATGTGCCGCAGCCACCACCTCCTCGTTCACCTCACGCTGCTGCTGCTGCTGCTGTTGTGGTGGTGGCGTTGTCTGCTGCTGTAACGCGGATGTCCCGGTGAGATCTACGGCTGCGGCCCCAACCATTTTGGCGCGCTCCGCCAGCTCCCCAACGGCACGCGCCACCTCCCCCGCGAGCACTTCCACGAAGCCCAGAGGCACGTCGCCACGTCGCAGTCGCCCCGAGAATAACTCCGACCCATCCGCTTCCCCACCGTCGCCGGATTCCGCGCGCACCGCGTCCGTCCCCGTCAGCACATCCTCCGTGGAGGAGGCAAGAAACTCGTGCAGCAGCAGCCAGTGCCCCTCTGCTGCCTCACATACCGCGGCGGGCACGTGCTTTTCGGGGGCAATGAACGCCGCATCCATGGAGTGGCGGGACCTCGCCAAAAGTTTTTTCATGCGCTGCACCGAAGCCGCAGTCTTGCCACCGCCATGCCCACCAGGCGGCTCTGGGCCCTTGGCGACCGCACTCACGGCGCCCCCCAGCGACAGGGCGTGCTGCCACCCCAATTCCTTCTCGGTCACGGTGAGGCAGGCGGCAAGTACATACTCCTCCGCCCAGCGAAGGGCCTGCAGGAAGGCCACGGCGCACGCCTCAGCGGCGGGGGCAGTGTCGGTGTCATGACACCACACGACGCCCTCGTCGTGCGGAAAGAAGCAAACGGCATGCGAGAGGCCGGATATCATAAACGCCACGCCCGTCGAAAGTTGCACTGCCGTTGAGGGAAGCTCCATTGTGTAATGTTCTTGCGACACGGCGGTGGTGGCGGGCTTGACAGTGGAACCGCCGTGACGCAGACGCTTCTTCTTCGCCGTCCGTTGGGCGGACACGATCTCGGGCGAGGCGGCGCCGTAGTGGTGATACAGGGACAAAAACTGCAGCATTGCCATGAAGAGCGTCGTGGAGAGGCCGGTCTTGGCCCTATGCCCAGCCGTCGCCGCGGCAATCAAAGAGGTCATCATTGCAGGTGGCAAACCCGCCGTCGCCTGCTGGGCGTTGGTGGACGGTGTTGCTGTTGCCGTCGCCGCTGATTTTGCGGCGCCGCACAAAACGGCACGAATCCTTGCGGTGATGGCGCTGAAGTGGGCCGCGGCCTGCAGCCTGGCGCGCTCGTCGCCGTGCACCAGCAACGGCCACCGCCCCACTACCCCGTGCCCCAGCAGCACGGAGAGCAGTCGGTACACCTGCTCCTTCGGCTGGCTCTCATCGTCGCGCTGGGTGGCCACCGTCGGCATGTAGCGACGGACAAGCCAGCGGAACACCTCCTGCTGACACGCGAACGACGCCCGCGGGGCGATGGCGAGCAGCACCGCAAGCAGTAGCGTTTCCAGCCGCACGCCGTAGTAGGGAAAGAGCGGAAGGACACCGTGTTCCACCAGCAGCGTACACTGCCGCTCACTGCACCCGAGCGTCGTTCCAGGCTGCGCAAGCAGGTGCAGCATGAAAAGCGAGCCGTCCTTGACAAGGTCCTGCACGGCGGCGGCGCTGAGTGATCCGCCCGCCGCGGCACTCACACGCAGCAGACAATCCGTGTCTCTCTCCCCTGCCTGCGCGGGATTAGCGACGTCGTCGCCGTCTGGCTGCGTCACCGCTGCCAGGGCCGGTGCCTCACCACACATGCTATCCAAGAAGAAGAGCGAGCGAAACAGCTGCAGCAGCGTCTCCCCCGGTGAAAGCGGGGTCGCCTGCGTTTTCCATTTCGAAGTTTCTCCTCCTCTCCCACTGCCGTCGTCGTCCTCCTCCTCCTCCTGACGTGCTCGTTTAACGCCCCTCTGCTCTTGCTGCTGCTGCTGAACGCCATGTTTCGGGGAGGCATCATCGGTCATCGTCGGTGTCTTCGCCAGAGTAGTAATAGGTGGCGTGACACCAGACAAGGAGGAAGACGGGAGGGCCGTGTAGGCATCATGTGTAGCGCAGGCGAGGTACAGCACGACGGCACCAAAGTCAAAGAGCGGGGAGAGTGGCGGACATGGAAAGTGAAACAGCTCACGCCGGGAGACGTGACTAAACTCGCTGCGGACGACGGTAAAGAGTTGCAGCATGAACGGCAGCACGGTTCCATGCAGCAGCGTCAGAGAGCGCGGCGAGACTTGCACAGAGTGGCCCGCCTGTGTCAAGGCTTCCCCCGCGCCGACGCCAGCGGCGTCGCTGGCCGCGGCTGCTGCATCCTGCGCGCGGCGTTCCCCGCGTGGTCGGTGGCGTGCGATGTCGGCCCGCACGCTCTGTCCGAGCACGGCGGAGAAGCAGACGCACATTTGTGTGGTCATGAGCGTCAACGCCTCCATGCGCCAGCCGTCCCGGCGGGCTGTGGCGTAGTAAAGGTGGCAGAGCGGCCGCACCAGCTCCAACGGCGTGGCGGAGGCCAGCGGGTAGTCGTCCCGCGTCACGGAAACCAAAAGGTTCACGGCCACGAGCAGATGCGTCTCAAGGCGTAGCGCGCTCGTCGGGCGCAGGTGCCGCTGCGTCGTCAGTCGCACCAGGCGCTGCATCATGAACAGAATCGTCGCCGCGTTTGTCGTGGATGCCGCCATCAACAACGTCGCCTCATCCTCGCACGGCGTGAAGGCGCTCAGCAGTTGCGGGGCGCGGAGGAGCTGGACAAGCAGGGCCGCGTACGCCGTGCCCTGCTCCACCGGCGGACGATGCACCTCGTCCGCCACGTCCGCCTCCGCTCCGTGAGCCGCGTTGTTGTTGTTGTTGCCGCTACTGCTGCCCACCTCCGCGTGAAGCGCCCTAGCGAGCGACGGGGATGTTGTGCTGCTCGCGGCGGTGGTGGCATCTGTGCCGTGTGATTCGTAGGCGGTCCTCTCCACCAGCTCCAGGAGTCGCAGCAGGAGTTCCATGAGCACCGCCGGCTGCAGGTTCGATAGGTAGCCGTGGAAGAGGAAAAGGTGCAGCAGCAGCTGGGCGTACTCGTGACCGCAGACGGCCACCAACACCTCCGACTGCAGCACCTCCAACGCGTGCCGGACAATCGAGAGGAGCGGCACGGCGTTCTTCCAGAGCAGCGGCAACGCGGTGTGGTTCGGCGCCCGCGCCCAGAGCTGCTGCGTGGAACGCGGACCCGCTGCGGTGGATGTCCCAGTTCGATTCGCGACGGTTGTGGACGTCATCCACGGCCCCGCAACGGAGCTGGCCGCGGCGAACGACTCTTCTGCGCCGCCGCCGTGTCCCCCGCGGTTTCCCGCCGCCGCCGCCGACACGTACGCCTCCTCGGCGTCGCCGCCGGCGGAGGAGCCCCCGAGTGTCGCGGTGGCCGGCCCCAGCAGCAGCGCGGAGGGCAGGCTGTGGTGCAGCGCTTCTATGAGGGCCCGCCACGGCCGCACCACCTCCGTGCGCAGCTTCTTCGCCTTGTTGCTCCCAAACGCATCCAACTCCTCCTCCGCGACCAAAGCGGCGGAGAGCAAAAGCGACGAGGAGGAGGGGAGCGTTTCCGGTCGCCTTCGCGACGCGGCGTGGGCCCCGCGCGGGGCTGCGCGCATCGTCAGTGGCCGCCGCTTCCTTGCGGCGCCGCAGTACTGCGTGAGCGCCGGCCTCACCACACTGTCCAGCACCACAAAGAGAATGTTGTTTACCACGTGTTGGCCGAAGATGTTTTGGACGTGGGTGCCGCTCTGCTCCGCCACGGCGTCCAGAAACGCGCGGAGGTCCACGAGGGACTTATGCACCTCCTTTGGGTTCGCAACTTGCACATCGTTGACAATCGCCGTCAGTCGTGCCTTGAGCGTCGCCGTGTCACTTACCGCGACGGAGGCCGACAGGGCGGAGGCGTCTGGGGCGTCAAAGAAGCCGACCGGCGCCGACGACGGCGTGGAGAATGTCTGTTTTCTTCCCCCGCCGACGTCATCTCCCGCGCTGCACTTCGCCCCTCCGCCGCCTCCGCGTGTTCGCGCAGTCCCTCTCTCTCTCTCTTGCTCTCTCTCTCTGTCTACCTCTGTCTGCTGTGCAGTCTATGCCTCTGCAGGGGCCCCTCTCCCCCGTCCCCTCCCTATTTCTCTCTCTTTCTCTCCCCTTTTTGTTGTCTTTGCTCCCCCGCTCACTCACTCACTCAGCCGCTCTCTGTCTCTCTCTCTCTCTCTCTCTCTCTCTCTCTCTCTCTCGCTAACGCTCACACGCAGGCTTCCGCTGCACTCCCCCCTCCCGCCCTCGCCGCCGCCGCCGTAAATGCACGGGGGGACTCCGCAGGACGCCGGGAGGCACGTGTTCGAGTGTATTGCACGCGCTTGCGTAACGGGGGGGTGGGGAAGAAGAAGGAGAGGGAAGACGGAAAAAAAAAAGAGAGAGAGAAGGAAAGGGGAATAATGCCACAAACACACGCAGGGAGTGAGAGAAGTAGCCTCTTCGTGCCTTCCATAAAAAGAGTCCCACACGCCCAACACCAGCAGCAGAACAAAAGGAACCGCAACAGTCCAGAGAGGCGGGCGGGGGTTGAATGCCGCCGCTGAGAAGCGTGGCGTCTGGGGAAGGCGAAACGACACCCTCCCGCGCATCCTTTCCGGCCCACGCCCGCCGTGCGTGTCTTCTCAGCCGAGAATGAAGAAGAGGGAGTACACCTTCTTCAGTGGATCCCAGCTGCAGTGGTAGCGGCCCTCCTCCTCATCGCTTGCGGGCACCGCGGCGTCGCCCCCGGGCGGAGCCATCGTCTTCGCGGCGCCCGCCGCCGCCGCCGAGGCGGAGGTGCGTGGCAGCTTCGACGGGAATTTGACGGCAATCGTCACGTACCCCTCGCACGCCACGAGCAGGTACACGACACTGTCGTCCGGTGGCCGCTCCATCTCCTGCTCTCGCGCCGAGCGCCAACGGTGCAGCGGCCGAACCCCCGCCGCCGCCTGGGGAAAGAAAAACTCGAGCCACACCTTCGTCTGAAACAACTCCGGATCATTTTCCGTGCAGTAATTAAACTGCGGCCTGCCAAAGGGGGCAAAGGCGGCGGTGGCGAGCGCCCCACCGCGAGCGCCCCCCTGCGGGTCCTGCTGAAGGAGCAGCTCACGCGTCGCCTTCTGCTGCTCCGCGCGGCGGCTCGCCTCCCTGCTGAGCTCCTCCTCCTCTGCCAGCCGCTCCTCGCGCCGTGCGTAGCGCTCCATGCGCTCCAGCTGCGTGCAGTGCGTCTTCCCCGCGATGTGCTTGAGGAAGTTGTTGTCATCCGTGCAGCAGACGTCGCAGAGGGTGCAGGTGACGCGGCCCATGTGGTTGCGCTTGTAGTACGGGTCGCGGCGGGCCTGCAAGGAGGGGTTTAGGGCCTTCACGGACGACATGCTTCCTTCCTTCCCTTGTTCTCGCTGTGTGCCCCACACAACCGCCCAACGGAGCAGCGACGGAGGCGGGACGAAAGGGCGACGGTGGCCGCCACCGCAGCAGGAAGCGAAGTAAATGGACACAGACAGTCACAAAAAGCACACAAAGTTCCTCACGGCAGAGGCACAGCACCTCAGAGATAAAGCGGAGCACAGAGAGAGAGAGAGAGAGAGTGAGACACACACAAACATACCAAACAAAGGAAAAAAAGAAAAAAAGAAAAAAAGAAAAAACGAAAACGAAGAACGACGACGAACGAACGACAACG